AAAATATAATTGATATTTTAGGTTTTTTTGTTTTAGCTCAAAATTTTTCTGTAAAGGCTTGCACCTTTTCGATGTGCATAATAATACAATTTGAAAACATTTTATTTATTTCTAGTCTTAGGATTATACAGTATCTTTTTTACCTTATTGGATTGGGTAGGCTCTCTTGTAAGAGTTGAACAGAAGGGCAATAGTAGGTACACACACTTGTTTGCAGCCTTAAGACAAATTCAGAATTTTGCCATTTTGATGATTTTTGTTTCTGTAGGCAATCTGTTGTTAATATTATCTACTATATGAAGAAAGAGGTTTTATATCCCAAATTTTCTAATAATTTAAAGCTCAGTGGCTTATATTGTTGAGGGGTGAGGGGTTGAGATCGGATCTCACTATGTAGTTCAGGCTGGTCTTGAACTCACTATTTAGCTCAGGCTGGCCTCGAACTTGCAGTGATTCTGCTACCTCAGCCACCCGAGTGCTGGGATTACAGGCGTGCACCACCATGCTGGGCATGGCTTTCAAATTTGATGACTACTTTTCTAAATCTATATATTTGATGGCCATATAATTTTAATATGATTTTTTCTATTAGCAAAATAAATTGCGTTGATTTCAAAATGTTAAAGTATACTTACATTTCTGGCATAATCTTCACTTAATTATGATGTATTAATTTTCTTATGTTAGATTCCATTTACATGTGTGTCCCTGAGAAGAATTAGTCTGTACTCTTCTCTCTTTTCCAGCTTTATTGAGGTCTTCTTGACAAAATTTTACATATTCCAGGCAAACAACATATATTTATACAGTATACCCCTGCGAAGTTGTAGTTCAGAGTTCGTGGCCTCAGTAGTTCGGGGAATTTTCCTTAGAACCTGACTAATAATTGTTCCCCCCAGACCCTGCAATTTCGCGGAAATTGCAAATGTCCTCTGCAATTGCTTTTTTGGCGGGAGGTTTGCAAGTAGCCAATCCAAGAGCGTTATTCAGTTCTCCTTGGTGCTGATTGGCTGCTGCTCTGTCATAACAGGTTGCTGTACCGCCTATAGTTGTCTCCAGTGCTCTCGGTTTTATTTTATTCTTCAGCCCTGAGATCCCTAAGATGCCGCAAAACGCACTGCACCTTCTAAGGCTTTATTAATATAGTATTTTATTATATTAAATTACATAACTGCGGGAGACATAGCACATTTAAGGGTTAAAGTATAAAAATAGGCATTTTCTGATCGTATTTGAATTTGCAGTTTTTCACAATTGGCGGGTGTTCTAGGAACGTAACCCTCGCTAATTTGAGGGGTTCACTGTACATATAGAGATTGTGAAATAATTATCAAAACTAAGCTAAGGAAAAATGATGAGAAATGGAAAAAATGGAAATAAAGTCTTTGTAAATAGGGAAGGGTGGAG